CAAAAATAATAATATAAAAAATTCAAAAAAAAAATTTTTTTTACTTGAACCGGTCCGATCAACGTTGGTCTGGACCGATCTGACTGGTTCTGCGGTTTAGTCAACGGTTCAAGTTAACGGTCTACGATTCAATCCGGGTCAAACCGATTCAATTGGGCCGGCCAGCAGCTGTTGGAAGAGCGGGTCCACAGGTCGGGTTACACAGATCTCGGGTAGGATCCGGGTCAACATGCGGATCCTCTTTGGCCTAAAACAACATCGTTTTACTCCTTAGTCTTTTATATATAACTGAAAAAAAAATTTTGTTTGTTCTTTTTGTTTTTTAGAAAAAAAATGGGGGGGAGAGCTCTAGAGCTCTCTCGCCGTCCGGTCGTCGGACCGTCGTGCCGGCCGTCGTCTGGGTCACCGTTGGCGGTAGCTTCCGACGGTCACCGACAATCGAAAAATGCCAAAATCTCCCAAAAGTGGTCTTCAATGCATTTTTCCTAGATCTGACCTTTTTTATGTCGAAAACAGCCCCGATCAGTATAGATCGGAGCTCAAAGTTTCTGTTTCTCTTTTTTTCTTTTTTTCTTTTTTTGTTTTGTTTTGTTGAAACAAGACTGACGTAATTTTTTTTTGCTTTCGCAGGTAGCTTTGGCGTTGGGTTTTTCCCTGCAGGGAAGACTGTGTTTGTCTCTTTTTTTATGTTTTTATTTTTCTGTTTGTTTTTTTTTGTGGTTGGTGTGGGTTCTGTTTGGGGTTGCTGAAGGAAGATGTTTGGCTTAGTGTTTGGGGTTGTTGAAGGAAGAGGTTTGGAGGTCTCGAAGATCTGTTTGAAGGTTTTTCGAGAGGGGTATGTTCTTTGTCTGAGAGTTTTCGAAAAGGGAGGTCCGAGAGAGTCAAGGGAAAGAAGTTGGAGGTTTTTAATGAGTTCAAAAGTGGAACAGGTGGTGGCTGTAGGCTGTAGGAGCGTGGACAGCTAGTGGTGGCTGCAGGGTGGCTGGTCGGGGGCGGCAGCAACACCGTACACTAGCCACCCTACTTTTTTTTTCTTTTTCCTGTTTTCTCTTTCTTTTCTTTTTTTTAATAATTAATAATAATTATTTTTTATTTAAAAAAATATATTATTATTATTATTAATTATTAATATTAAACTGAAATGAAAACAGTATATCCGACAAAACTGGTGTCTACAATATTATTATCTATTTTGAAGAGACTATAATGGAATATATATACCAATACTCTTATATACTAATGAAATAATAAAAAAAAAAGAAGAAAAAGATGGTAAAATTTTATATTGACTTTTGAGTGGAATTTCTAAATCATGATAAGCCAAGTGATTTAATGTGAAATTTATATTTTGTTTGATTATTCAATGAAATTTTGTCATATTATAAGAAAACACTAATAGAACGTAGAGACAAAAGTATATAGTCAAATATAGCAAATAGCATTACTTTGGCAACAAAAAAATAAATTTAGACTTTTAAAAAAGAAATAATATAGATGACATAAAAAAGAATTATTTATTTTTCACATAACAAAAACTAACGAAATAATTAATATTTTTAACTAAATATTTATTAATAATAAACTTGTTCAAAAAAGGAAGATAGAGAGACAAACTTGCAAAAAAAAAAAAAAAAGGAAAATGTTAAATTTGGAATCCTAATTTAATGGAGTAGTAAATTTGACTGATTTGACTTTGAAGCGCAACTGTTGAATATGATTTTGTGTTGGATGAGGCCTGCTTTTTTTGGTTTAAATGGGCAAAACTAGTCTGGTCCAAGTCCAACCGTCGCTTCAATTGGGGATCGTAATGGAAACTTAAGGGGCCTTGGCCCTCCCCAAATATTTGAAACCCCTTTTGACATGTATATATATTTATATTAAATACATTTAAATTGGCCTTCTAACCAAAAAAAATATTGTTAATTTTATTATTTTTTGTTTTTTATAAATTAATGTTATGTATTATAATTTAAGAGATATTTAAATCACATTTATATTTATTTATTTATTATTATATCCAACAATTATTATTTATAAATTTTCACATTTATATTTGTTAATTATTTTTTTTCATATACTTTTTATTTTTATTTTTAATTTAGATCTTTTATCACATGTTATAATTCCTTTTTCAACAAAAACATCATATTTGAACTACTTTACAAAAGGAAGAAAAACACCAAACTTCTAGTTTTAAAATTTCATCTTCATTATTTTAGAAGTATATTTAGTTTTCTTGTTTTGATAAAATATTTAATAATTGATTTATTCATACTTTTTTATTTCACTTTTAAATTATCAAAAAAAATTTAGTGTAATTAGCAATTCAACAATTAATTGTAAATTTTGTTATTATTAAAAGTATAATGTTGTCATAGTAATATTTTTATTTTATAATTTTATACTCTTATCATGTTTTTATTAGTATATTGTTTGTCTATATATATATATATATATATAATATATTAATAAGTATGATAAAATACATCTTAAAAAAGAGATAGACTATATTATATAATATTAGTTGATTCTTTTTAAATTATATGTCAAGATCCGTCACTGTGATGCTTCATCAATTCATATGGATATTAATTCTGAAATTAACAAAGACGTTTGAGAATTGCATGCTGATCTTGTAGGTTTACTGCAAAAGGATAATTCTGTTTGACATATGTTTTGCCATTGTTGAGTTGTTCTGGCTTTCTTCTTTTGAACTGATCAAAAAATAAATTTAAAAAAAAAAAAAAACTAGAAGGAAGCTACATACATAATTTAGGCGATAATAATAGTAAATTTTAGGCCCGCTTGATTGTGATAAATAATATATATATATATATGTATATATAAAATTTAAGCAAGACTTTGGATTCCAAATTTTTTGGTTTCGAATTTTAGATCTTCAATTCCGGAATCAACCTTAGTAGCATTGAATTAACAATTCATTCTATATTTGAGAAAGCCACTAAGCAAGAAGCAAAAATACATTGAAATCACGTCCCAACGGGATGAAAAAGTGGGCATCCTATGTAAATTATTTAGTTACTAATTGGGTATCCGAAGCAACTGAATTTCAGTTATATATCTCAAGGAGATCCCATTTGGGAGGGTTGAGATTGAGCAGAAGCGCAACCGCATCTACAACAGGCGTGGCCTGGTGGTGGAGGCGCGCAACAAACACAAGCTGGACATAGAGGTCGTGAAGGAGCTGCAAACATTGTATATCATTATCAACGTTAAAATTAAAATCGCAAAACAAATTGCTCACAATATTGAAGGTCAGGAATTAATATAAAATCTAGTGGTTTACCTGGAGACGTTCGAGCTGCAGCACAGGGTGGCATGGGCGATAAAACCAGAGAGAAAATGACAAGTGTTATCAGAACAGACCTTGGGTACTCCCCTGCCATAGCCAATTAAGTTCAAACAGTAATGTAACAGATCTGGTGATACAAATTAAGAGGTACATGTCAAGCATATTTATACTGTTCTTAAAAAGTGTTAGATGGATGAGAAAGCCTGAAACTTCAAACCATTTTTTCCCTCTATTCTGTTAATTTATTACCAATTTTCCAGTCAATGTCGTGACTTGACCTAATATTCAAAGTTGTTTTTTTTTTTTTTAGGCATTAATAATTTTCCTAATTTTTTTATTACACATTCAATGAAGACTAATAACTTAGCTTGACTGAGCTTAAATTCCACCCATTTTAGTTTTTCTTGAAGCTGTAGTTTTCCAAAAGTCAGAAATTCCCATTGTATTTTATTTTTATGATTTTCGAGTCAAGTATTATTTTTTTTAACTATTCAAGAGAGAGGTAGGAAAAGAGAAATAGTAATGGATGATGGCCAGTGGGGAAAAAAAAAAAAAAAAACAAAGTCGTTTGTTGCTGAGGGAGAGCCAGATAAATGTTCAAGAAACCTACAGCTGAATGACTTTAGCAATTTAAATCCCACCACTTAAATTATGAATAGGATTGGGTGTGTTTTTTCAACTTGTTTTTATAAATCATTTTAAAAAATTTCAATTAAAAACTATAAAAATGTTTAGCTACTCGGTTATAAGTCATTTTTTTAACAAAAGAAATCAAAATCTAAACAAATTGCAAAAATAGAATTTGAAAGTACTAAGTACCATTCAAAGCGATGTGAAAATCTATCTTTTAAGAGATAAAGATAAATCATTTGGATTAAATCTTAAATTAAATAATTATTTAGTTATATTAATCTTGTATTCTTTCTTTTTAATTATTTATTCTTTTTATAACTTTTACAAACTGAAAAAGAATGGATCAACTTAGACTTTTATAAATTTTTTTAATTTTACACTTTTTCTAATCATTAATTTTAATAAATAAAAAAATAAAAGAGACAAATAAAAAATAAAAAATAGTTTAATCTCAATAAACAAATTTCAGTAGTATACTAAACAATTTTTATATTATAAATTCATCACTTAAATTTTTCAGAATTAAAAAGTCAATACTTAAATTTACATTATTGAATTTGTTCAATTTATTAGACAATGCTTCAAATGTTAAATAAAATACTTAACTCAGATTCATCCCTTGTCGTTATCAAATTCGACCTTTAAAATTGTTTCAAAATTTCTTTATTAATTTATAATAGATAAATAATAGACGTTGATTTGAAAAAATAGTAGAGTTTGAGTCTATGGCCTCTGCCGTACATGACCCGCTACCATTAACTTACCTCAGCCAAGAAACGAAGAAAAAACAAATTGAACTTCCTCATACGGCCGGCTGAGTGGCCATTGGGCTAGGAATTTTTATTTTTCTAACTCATAGGATTTCCATAGGAAGACCATATCTAACAGGGACTTAATTCAAAGTTTTTCTACACGTCCATGTGGAGGATGGGAAATGCCCTGCCATCCCATACAACTGGGTAACCTGGTGAACAAGAAATCGCTCTTGATTTACATTCTTTTCTGTTTCTTTTAATTAAGATTTTTTTTTCTATCGGATTCAGGAAATTGGTTAATGCTGAGGCGAAAAGAGACCAACTGATCTTTCAGGTTTTGTTTTTTAGCTTTTATTACAAGGCCATAGAAAATTCTGAAACCGAAATTGCAACCATTATTTTTTATACAGGCTGAGAAATGCAAAAACATCTGAGAAATGCAAAAACAACAGTGACAACATCTCAAAAAAGTCATCAGATGAAATTTTCATACATATAAGAACTAGCTAGCGATCATCTTCAAGCCTGACGCTGAGGCGATAAACTGGCCAGTCCGAGAGAACCAGGATTCACCATCTTAACTTTGCTGGGAAGTACTGCAGAAAAATTGCATTGATGTTAACAACAAATTGTGCAGGACATAATAAGGATTAGGAACCTAGCAAAGCTCAAGTTCTGCTGACCTTTTCAATGAGGGAGATATAATATGGCTTGACCTTTTCGACATCAATCCGGACTTTGCTCTTGCTGTAAAGATCATATTTGCTGCACAATTGTAAGTGGAAAAAAGAGTTCAGAAATGGATAGGACTCAGGGAAAGCATAATCTTGATATGTCTACAATCTCGACTGGACTCCAGGATAAATGCAATCAAACCATACTTAAATATTTCTAGCCACTTCAGATTCTCAACATCCTCCTCATTCATTAGGTGCTTGTACGCTCCTAACCTATGCAACGCTGCAACATAAAGTGCTTCAGTTCAATATATAAATTGCAACTCAATCAATCTTCAGAGAATTGGAAATTTAAAAACTGGAGCCTCCTTTTTATTATTTTTTCTTACCATAAAACGAATGGTATCTGATAACGAAAAGAGCTGCTGATGGCAGAGTTGTATTATTCTCTTTGGCCACCTGAATAGAGATTCCAAAATTAGTTTGCATCATAGCATATTCTGGATGCTAAAAATGGTATCATTAAGGCATTGCCAATTTATATCTTAGATACAGATATATTGGGAAAGATACCATATACATGTAGTCATCATGCCCCCATGACATCATTACATTGTTAAGTCCACATCCCTCTGAGTACACTCCATATTTAGTGTTGTAAACAGGGTTGTGATAGTCAGGATTTTCCTCAAAATACTGTGCCAACAACATAATAGAATCCGAAATTATAAAATGCAAAGATTTTGTTAGAAGTTTCAAAGCAATGAATTGTTCGTAAACTTTTTTTTTTTTTTTGATATAGAAGTTTAACATCTGTAAGTAATTACCTTGTGGTGAACAATTGATTTGTCAAAAGCACAGCCAACAGGATATGTGTCACCTATAACACTGAGGGTCATGATTAGAACTTAAAAATAAGATTGGTTAATTGAGGGGATGACATTATCATTATTTTTATCAGTGTAGTATTAAACTATTGCAGATGTCGTAAATGAGACTCACCTACAACAGCCCACTGGGGAAGCTCTCCAAAGCTAGGAAGAAGAAGCACCTTTCCAAGGTCTAAACCCCATAAAAAAAAAACAGAGCAATAGTTAACAATAAACAAATTTGCAAATTATGAAACATGGGTCTTAAGTATAGACTCTCAAGAAATAAAAGTCCCAAATATACCATGGATAAGGCCAGTCAGATGCAGCCAGTCCTCATCAGGATAGTCCCTTCTAATGGCCTCAGCTGTTTGCAGCAAGTGTTCAATCTGAGGCTCGTCCAAGTCAGGGTCACTCTCATCAACTACATCATTAAGAAGTTCACAGCATTCCCATATGCTCATCTCCACCTTGTTCAGCTTGCCATACTCTTCCCTCATTCTCTTGACCTGCAATTGAATGAATTTATGAGTCCATTAACTTACAAATGTACAAATATTTAAAAAAAAAAAAAGTAATTGCACATAGAATAGAAGCACTGGTTACATACAAAGTCATATGTCTGGTTAATATGATTGGTCTTGTAGAAGTTCTCCACACCCTTTTGCCTCTCACTTTCAACATGATAATCTCTGTTTGCAAACGTAAAGTAGATCAATCAATTATAACTAGAAAGACAAGTAGGCAAGCACGTAGACAAGTACACAAACAGGTGAGAAAAAGAAAAGCAGGGGTGTTTTAGGTGCAGTTTCGGGCCACAGATGATAGGCAGGTTTTGAACTTTAACATGGACAAAATGTATATATCTAGCTCAGGTCTAAACTAAGGCCTAAGATCAACAAAATGATGCAGGCCTGTTAGACTTGTTGTGTAACTGAACCTCGGACAAAAGTAATATCTCTCATAAAGGATAAAACTCTTCAAGATATATCAGCAATTTTCAGCATAAAAAAACAAATTCATAGTAGACAGGTTTTTATTATGTAGTCTTGTGCCTATCGCAACTATCAACAAAAGCAGATCCATCATCCATGTTTTACAGCTCTAACCAAATATTATTGGATTTAACTGCAACTACTGTACAGATGCATCCATTGGTCTTATAATAACAACAATGGAGGGTAAAGGATATATTATAAGCTTTTGCTATTTGTTATAATCCATAGAAAATCAAAGGTTCATAAACAGTTGTTGATCATATTCAATTTCAACGGGCAAAACTAGAAATTGTTTCCTGATCATGGAAATATGCACATGATGAAAAGGAGATTGTCCTCTGTCCATGGTAAAAAGGAGATCATATTCAATTTGTTTTCTTGTTATATGTTGTCCATGTTTTGATACTAATATCCGTCGGGGGCCGTCGAACAGAATTACTTGTTGTATATATATTGCCCTTTGTTTTCCTCGTTTTCGTCCCAAAATAAGATAATGTAGCTAAGCAAAAAGAACTACCTAAAAGTGTGGCCAAAAGAGTTGGTCTGTGGCACCATAAATCCCCCATCCAATACCAGTTCTTTCTCAACATTATCGACCTGCTTGTTAAACCCTGCTTCAACTCCTGACATACAAAACCACAATTACGGAAATATTCCATACAATTCAAGGGTCATCATCAATTTCAGAAGCTCAATTATTTATTTCTGATTATACAGAAATCTCTATTATATAAATGAAAAAAAAAACCAGTAAACACATAGTTAATGAGATTTTATTTTATTACTTTCTAAAAAGTAATATAATTCTGAAAAAATACAAAAAGATTCACCCAGAAGTTTTTTTGATGTGAAAACATATAAAATAGCAAAACCACATTGAAAAATGAAAAATTTTGGCATAAAACAGAAAAAAAAAAAAAAAAAGCAATGAAAAATAATAGTAAATAATTACCAAACTCAGGTTGATCAATGAGGATAGTCATCCTGAATCAAAAAAGAAGCTGAATATCTCAACAGAACAATGAAAACAAAAACAAAAGAAAACAACAAAAATCTAGTGATACAGAAATTGAGTGGGTGATTGCACATTTAGGTCAAGCAAAATCCTTGGTATTTATAGTCAGCCGGAAGAAGTCCTTCCCTGGGAATTCCCAGGTCCTATGTCCTTCCCTGAAAATCTAAACTTTCATTACTTAACATAATTTACAACAATTTTAGTCCCAAAAAAAAATTTACAACATTTGTCTTTAAAAAATAGATCAATATTTGTATAATAATTGTTTTACAAGAAAATGAAAAGAAGTTGGAACCAGGCAGAGTCCCATTGCAAGCTGGCAAACAGGCAAAAGACAGATTGAGACTAAATGATTATCTTTCTTGTGATAAAAATCGTCATTGTCATGACTGAGTCAGCTTTGCGTTGGAAACCACACATTTATTATTTTTTTTTCTGCACATCACCGACCCTCCATAGTGGGGTCCACTTGACGTGGCAACCAGTCAAGGATTGTGACTTGGCTTTGCCCTCTCATCTCCCTTTGTTCTTATCAGGCAAAGCTACTGTTTCTCATCACAGAAGACATCAGACGTAAGGAAGTGGCAAATCCATTGCCTAACAGCTAGGCCTGAGGGTATGGGAGTTTAACACCTGTGTCAATGTTACACACGTGTTTATCATTAGATTTTGCATTGGCTAATGGACTTTGTACTTCATACGTACGCAGTTTCTCATGGGATTTTTTTTCAGTTTTCAAAAGGTCATGTTCCTAAGTCTATCTTTTTTGTTCAAGTTTCCTAAATCTTTGTTTATGAGCTTGTTTGGATTGATTACTTAAAATACAGTATATCAAAGAAAGTCCTGTTTGTTTTGCGGTAATTTTTTTTATAAAGATTGCAGTTTAAGATATTAAAAAAATTATAAATATTGAAAATTAAATTTCAATTTTAATAAAATTCAGTTTTAATTTTATAATAATTTAACTGCTAATAAATGATAACTAAACATGTGACACATAAACTTGTATAGATTGTGATAATTTATATATTAATAAGTAAAAGTAAGTAATTGATAGTTCGATTGATTTAATTAAAAAAATTAATAATTAAATTAATTAATTTTTATTCAATAAATAATTAAATAAATAAAAAAATTTAAACAATCGATTATAATCAAACTGATCAAAATTGATTCAATTTGATCGATTTGATTAAATAGTTTAATTTTTTATTTTTTTATTATGAGTAATTATTTAATTATAAATTTAATTCAATAAAACTCTAATTCAAATTTTTTTCAAACTAGATCACTAAAAAATTTAATAATTTTAATAATATTTGATAAATAAAAAATAAAAATATTTACCTTAATTTTTTTATCTTTACTTATTAAAAAATTAATTAATTCGATTGATTCAATTATCAATTTAAGAATAAAAAATAGATCGAATTAATTAATTTAATCTATCTAAAAATCAATTATAATTAAAATTATATAAACCGAATCAAATCAATCAAATTTACTCGACTTCAGTCAATTTAATCAATTCAAATTGACTTTTGTTATAATAGAAAAAGTTAATAAGAACTAACCATATTAGCAGAAAAAAAGAAGAATTATTGTTGGTCATACCTTTTTTTTTTTTTTTCATTTCTAATAATAAAGTTTCAAATAATTTTTTTTTCACAAGAGGATAGTATCAGAATAAAAAAAAAAAAGATATTTTATGTGTTAATATTTAAATTTTAGATTTTTTAAATATTATTTTTTAAAAATAATATATGAATTAATTAAATTAAATTTTATATTATTTAAAAAAAACTTTATATATTTTAGATTCAATTTCAAATATTATATTTATTATATTTATGAATAAATTGACCTACCGTGAATGGATAAATCTCACGTTTAAATTATTTACTATACATATCAAAAGATACAAATAGTAGAAACAATTTAAAATAGAAACTAGTCTTTCCTCTCCTACGCACACAAATATCTTTCAAAACCGAGAAAAAAAAAAAAAGGAATCAAATAACATTACTCAAAGAAAAACAAAGTTGCATATCCTATATCTTCTTTTAGTGGTAGAGTCACTGGCACTCACTATCACACTGCAATTTGCAATGAAGATGGTCCACTTTGCAATCTGATCATGAATCAATAATTTGACAAGTTTTTTTCTTCTCATAATATCCATCATGCGTAGGAACATCAGATTCAGCAAGTGATATCAATTGATAAGAGATAAAGAGATTTTTATTACATTTATTTGTTTAAAATATCCCTAATTTAACAGATATGAGATTAATCTTTTTATCTTCACTTTTAACGTTTTTCTTACTCCATTTGTCTCATAAATAATGTCCTAATTTGATTAAAAGTCAATTTTTTTTACTTTGATTTTATTTCATTTTAAATATATTATTAATTAAAATATGATGAAAATACTTTTAAAAATCTTAGATGAAAAATTTTCAAAATATAATTTGTAAAAAAGTTATTTAATAAAATAGTTAAAATATTAATAATTAAAATTAATAAAATTTAACTGCAAAACATCAAATGTAACTTAGTACGAGAGAGAGTATAAGTTATGATAGCACCATTGACCGTCATGATAGAAGAAAAACTCATACTAATATATAAAAAAAAGTACAATGTCAATTTCTTTCATGTATCCATTAACCCATTATTAAAGTGTTAATTCCAAAATTTATGATTTTTTTTCTTTGGTGATAATATATTTAGGGACTTCAATCTTATCCTTATTTAATAAGGAATTCAGTTTTTTATCTTATTGAAAATGTGAATTGATATTATATCATGGGTATAAAAGATAAAAATATGTATAATTTAAAATTTTTATTGGATAACAGGATATAAATGAATAATATAGCATTTATATCATATTATATATATATATATTAATATATATTTACTAAATAAATTTTTATTTACATCCATTTAAATTATTATTTAGATTATAAATTAATATATTTTTTATTAAAATTTATATTATATATATTTATAAAAAAATACTTAATATAATAAATTAAAAAATAAAAACTAAAAATATTATATTTTATTTTTATTTTTTAAAAAAAGTTATGAAAATAAAATTATTTATATTCATTAAATATTTTAAAAAATAAAAAAATTTAAAATTAAAATACACATTAAATATAATTAAAAAATAATTCGTTCCGTAACCTACCCATCCCTAAATGAATGTTTCATTGCACACTTTCCAACATAACATCACCGACGGACAAAAACAGCTACATTTACTCACCGAAATTTGTTTGTTTAATGCCAGCAAACTTAGGATAACACAAATATTTTTGGTCTTTCAAAAATAAAAATCTACCTTTTCTGTCACTATGAGAACAACCTCGTTGGTACGAAAAGATTTACCAATGGCAACAACTTTTTTCAAACTTTGTCTGTTACTTGAAGAGTGGGACAACGCGCAGTCGCAATAAAAAAAGTTGAGCGGCTGTAGTGATGCTGCGCTTCAAGCAGCAGCTTCTGAAGAGGTGAAAGGAGGAGCGGGAGATTAGCAACAAGTTGTTTTTAGTAAGAAAAATCTAATTGATTCATCAATCAGGTGCATTCAAGTTCATGGTCAAGATATTTATGTGCCCCACTCACCAGCTCTCGGTGACTCTTGGGATATTTTAAGCCACAAATGACTTGCTTTTGCTTCTATCTTCTGCTCCCTTTCATCGGCATATTCTTCTAATGAAAGAATATTATGATTTGAGTTTAAGATATGTTGTAAAATTTCATTTTATTTTTATTGTTTTAGCTAAATTTAAGTGGTTTAATCAACATATTTTTATGAAGATCTCATATCCGTAGTTGATTAGTTCATAGTTCATATACGTTTGTTTTTTTTTTTTTTTTATGGTTCATATACTTATACGGTTAAGCTAAATTGAGAAGGATTGATTTTCTTTTTCCTTTTACGTACACAAACAAATTTAAAAAGAGAAAATGTATTTTTAATTTTAAATCTCACTACTTAAGATCATTATATGAAATTTTAAGTTGTTATTTATATTATTTTATTTACAAGACATAATTTTTAATAATAAAAAAAAAGAGTATTGATTCAAAATCAAAATCTTATATTACGAATATATTTGCTGGCTAAGTATTAATTTATAAAAGAACATCTTTTTATTTTTTTACAAAAGGAAATGTTAATATGAGAATAGAAAATGGTAAGTGTTGAAATTTTGAATTTTAAATTTGTTAAATATTATATTTTTAAAATAATTATAATTACTAATTAAACTAAAATTTTGATTTTTTTAATTATTACATATTAATTACTAAAAATTTTATCCGTGTATTTGGGGTTGACTCGCGGACAACGTCTGTAAATATTTACCCGCATCTATCGGGTAACATATTTTTCGTTCAAATTTTATTTAAAGAATCAAGTGCATGATGCCAATTGAATAATTTTCAAGTCTTCTTTTCACTCAAATTATAATAATCTAAAACCAATGACTTTTACCAGTTAAGTAGTACACTTGTTGAAATTATAGAATTTGCTTTCAGCAGTGGCAAGGAAATAAGCAACTACTTTTCAGCACCATGGTTCAAGTCATGAAAATCAACTTGACCCTCAAAACATATTCATCAAGTAATAGTTTGTTGGTCTCCGCTTTATAAATTTACATGCCGCATATTTAAACTGATAAATGTTCTGGTGTGATTTCAGGCTTTGCCAATATAAGTGAACAGGAAATCAGGAATTGCCTAAAGCTTTGCATTCCGTTGTTGGCCGTGACCCCTGGTGGAAGGAATTGTCTCATTTTGTTGCCCATAAGTAGAATTGTCTCCTTTCATCATCATGTACCTCAGATTTCGGATGTCTGATAACGTCAAGTTTTGCCCTGATCTTCTTTTGGTCCCATGAAAAGAGGCGATTAGAAACACCCTCATGATTGCTATGCAAATTTGGCAACATCTTAGCAACCGCCCCGTTTTTGAACCAGTGAATATTTCCACATTTCATAGATCATATCTATAATAAAACCAAAAATGAAAAAAAAAATTATGAAAATGAGCCCATGGCTGCTGTGGCTCTCTATCATTGACAAATGGCAATAGAGGTTACCCGACTGCAATATATAAAACTGGAGGTAACTTGCAACTCGTCTGAACCATATCCAAACGTAGCCAAAGATGAGAAACATGGAGAACAAATCACATCTTGGTAAGAAAAAATCATTTTGTTACATAATTACACTGGAAGAGATTTGCTAATAATTCAACGTATTCTCATTACATTAGATCCCTTCTCTCAGCTAGCGGCCAATAAAAGTCTAAAAAAGTTCTAATGCTCTATTGAAATAGGAAAAAAACAAGGAGGCGGCTATTCTACTTCAAAATTTCGTTCTCTTAGCTGGACCCTGATCAATGATGGGATCAACAACAGGAGGTTGTGGTTCTACTTCTTGCTGGTTTTCTGGGTCTTTCTCTACTTCTGTTGTTTTAGGGGGAATAAATCCGTCAGGAAATGGGGGTGGCAGAGGGGCTGGTGGTATCTGCAATTTGAACAGAGTTTCTTCTTAAAATCATAAAGAAATCATTGACTATTCTTCAAAAATCAAGAGGGACTACTAAATTTTCTTCATTAAAAATGAACATGGTGATTTATGAATTATTAGCCAATTTCCATATGACTCGACAATTTTCTTAAGTATTTGAAAACCAATATAAATTCTATACACAAATCAGTGGAAATGAGAGATAAGTAGACAACAAAGCAATAAAATCTGAAACCTTTCGCTGTAAGGAGGCAAGTATATGATCCACGCCCTTAACTTCCTTAAAAGTCAATTGCATCTTTACCACCCTTTGATTAAAAAATTTCACTCTCATTTTCAGTATCAATTGCAACAGAAATTTAACTCAAACTATGTGAAAAGCTCATAATATGATGTGGCAAAAAGTAACAGACCTATGGCCAAGTACACATGAGCGGCAAGGCATGCTTACAGGGAGAGATCAAATCAAGGGATAGTAAGATTAAATGAAAGGGGAAAGACAAAATAGGATGGTTGAGTTACATCTACAAATATTTGAGTAATCATTTAAATACTTAAACTTACTCCTAGAATTGTGTAGCAAGAAAAGCTACAAGATCCGAGAGTTAATATTGACCCTATATTGCAAGATTATTGATCTAGGCATTCCAGAGAATCCTTCTGAAATTAATAAGCAACTTGGAAAAGCAGGTAAAAAAAAGCAGTCAACTGCACACAAGCAAAGATAATATAACTACATTGAAGACATAATTATAGGTGACAAGAAAATTGTTGGCCAGCATTGAAGAAATGACTAGGTTACATGGAGAAGCAGCCAGAACGAGAATGATACAAGAATAAATACAGCAAAGAGTAAGCCAACCTTAGTTACAGTGGAATCAAGACCTATGAATAAATCAAAGGGTTTACCGTTCAATAAAACTGCTTTAACTAGATCAAAAGATAGATCAATAAGGGAAGAATCAGAAGGTTAAAAGGTGAGGTCTTGCAGAATATTTTAAAGGAATATCTTAAAACAATATTCGACAAGCAGACTCTTTTTGTGTCTTTAGATTATTCCCTGCCTCGCAAATTTTGATATAAGCACACTATTATTCAACTAATAAAGTGTTCTTTAATGTGTTCCCACAGAAAAGTTAATGGCAAATTCTGTACACTAGGATTGCAAAAGGATAATAATAAAAAAATTGGCAGTCCTGAACTCTTAGGGCTGAGAACTGTGTCTTTAGAACTTACCCAGAAGAGGAAGAGGTAGGTTTTAGAGGTATAATATAAGCCAAATAGAATGCATTGTTTAAGCCTAGAAAAGGCTTAATTATTATAACTAAAACTAAAATAATTGAAATATTTTCCTGAATTTAATAGTATGAAAATCCTTTGTTCTATTGACAAGTTCACATGCTTTCTTTCCTTTCATTGCCTCAATCTCTTCAAATAGTATTAATTTTTCCCTCAATATTAAAAGCCTGTACAAGAACTCAAGAAACTGCATCATGACTCATGGATCGCAACAGACTTATTTCTAGTTTACAGGAGCATTACACGCCAGTGAGTAACTAGAGAAACTGAGAAACTTGTTCTGGGCTTGGCCACAACAACAAGAATACAATCTCTCCCTGTCGTATTTCACCTTGTTCTCTCTCAGTTTTTTCTTTCAATTGATAAGTAGATGTACTAATTTAATATTAGTTTAAAAAATAAGCATAAATGATCTGCAACTAAAACAATCAGAAATGTCCTTCTATATACTAAACACATTTGAACTTTTTTGAATAATTATGTTCTTATGAATGAAAAAGGATAAAGTAAATGAAATAGTTACCATATCCAATCTTCTCCAATTTTGATGCAGCAGCGGTAAAAGCTTTTGCTATATAATATAGAGCATGTCCCCGTCACATTGGTAAGTTATCAATAAATATCCAAAAGATGATATGTGCATAATAGTATCTATGCGAAGGAACGAGAGAGAGAATGAGAATTATATCAAAAGAAACAACAGATAATCTATCCTTTTAAACTCGATCGACTCTTTAAAACTCTTTGTTTTCCTTTATTTTTTTTCTTAACAAGATATTCATTTCAAGATGAGTAATACAAATTATCAAAATGTCTGAGCAGAAAACCAGTTTTGGAAATATACCTTAAAAAAATGTTGTTACCTGACCAAAATCACATGAGTCTTTAGGTGATAGCATTGTTATTTTATACAGAGATAAAACAAGAAAGGAAAACAATATAACAAAACTTACAACTCGAGCTGCAAAGACATTACAAAGCTGTGGTGCTTGGTAAATAGAACCATCTAATATATAATATGCCAGCATCAGCGTGACTTTATCTGGACTATCCCTCTTTTGCTTACGGATAATGAAGAGGTGTGGCTCCATGACTTCACTAATCGTTTATTCTATGCCAGTCATTTTCCTATGTGAAGGGAAAAAAAATGAAAAATCTCATTTCTGATCTTATGAGTACCTATTCCATAATCTAGTATGACTGGTGATAATGTCAGCAAGTTTTTCCAATCAAATGAAATAATTTTAGTTAAACTGAAAAAACAAGTTACTTATTTGGTGGCTACCGGCACATTTTTCAAGTAGATAAAATGCCAATCACAAATAAATAGCTATGCTTTCCTGTTCCTCTAGCAGAATTGCATGGCAAATGCCTCATCTTCGCATAATATGAAAAAACCAAATAATAATAATTTAAAACTTTGACATACCCAAATCATTACTTCTTTCATACTCTAACTGGGTTTCAAATTTTTGACATTTTCAATTAAAAAAAAAAAGAAAAAAACGATAATCAAACCTTGCAACATTCCAAGAGAGTTCATTAAAGAAAAAAAAACTTTAAATTTCCTTACGAGAGTTGAGAGATGTCGAGAGGGTGAACGGAGCGCATCCTTAGCTGCTCATTGTTGCAGGTCCAATCATAGAACGGAGATAGAGCAAAGTAATCGAAGATCAAGTTTCGATCAAGAGGGTACGTGTTTAGCCACAATTGGTCTCTGAAACATATGCTTGTCATGTCCGTTCCAGGAGGCTGTATCACCGCTGGCGGTGGTGGTTCAAAATTCCCGCCTGCCGCCTTCTGCGGTGGCGCCACCGCTGGCGTCGCCAATTTGGGGCTATGCTTTTCGAGGTGGTTCTATTTGGCGGTTTTAGTCAGAAAGAAGTCATCAATCATTATGCTCTTCAAGAACATAAAATGGCTCCCAAACGGCGCCGTTGAGAAAACTGACAACGTAATATATTGCAAGGTTTTTTATTACTCTATGAAATTTTAAAAACTATGCTATATTTCTTTTTTTTTAAATTATTCATATATAAGTATTCAATTTAATGATTAATGTATATTTTTTTGTCTGAATACTTTTTTTAAAATAAAAATGATCATATATTTTTTAAATATGAAAATAAAATGAAAAAGTTCACTCTTAATTTATCATTCATATATGATATCCACAATTTATTACTAAAATATATGTAAATAATAATAAAATTGTATTCGAGAAACTTAACATAGGAATATCAACCAAAATTATTAAAACTGTCCAACTATCGGATTGCTTATTGAAACCTACATGTCAACCAATTTCGTCAATCTTGCAATAAGATTTTTAAAACAAACCTAGGCCTGGAGTTAATTATTATTTTATAAAATAAGTATAATTTGATTTAAATTTAATTTTAATACATAAATTATGTTCAATATTAATCATTTAAGAGTAATTAGCATCCAAGATGGGTTTTGATAACCTAATGCAAATGTGGCTACCAATTGGATAGCAAGATAATCAATTGGAACAAACTGGAATACATGGTTCCAATGCAGGCATTCCACATCAAACAGGTTAAAGGAGAAAAGTTATGATGTCTCTAGCTTTGGGGTAGTCCTTTTGGAGATCATTACGAACCGACCAGTTTTTACAAAAAAGATATAACCAGACTACTCATGTAAGCAAAAGGTTTAGTTTCATGTTGTCTAATGACAATATCAAAACCATTATTGACCCAAGATTGCAACGATATTTTGAGATTACTTCTGTGAAAAAAGCCATTGAACTGGCAATGGCTTGTGTATCTCCAATTTCGACGAAAAAGCCAACCATAAGTTAAATTTTGACGTGTAATTCAATTAGTGTTTGTCAGTCCAGATTGACAGGATCCACAATATTTAGCTGGTTCCAATTGAAGTAATTCACTTTGTTAATCTCATTTTCAAGAATAGGTAAACTTTAGTACAGAAAATTTATTTTCTTCTGTTCAAATTTTTTTCTCAAGAATGATTTGGGATATGCAGAATATCCAAAGAAAAATACAGGGATTGGAAAAAAAAAATAACTCATTGAAAATTAACTAGATTGCTTCTTTCATCTTTTGCACAATTTATTTTGATCCAATTCAAATCAGCATCAGTTTAAGCAAATGCTATATATTATTTGAAATTATTTCGTTTGATAAATATTTTTTATATTTTTTATTCGTGTTCAAAAGATTAATTCCCACGTTAGAAGTAGCAATCAATTTTTAGTGTTTGAAAGTTGAGACATTTAACATTTCCTTGCATCACATTTATGGCGTGCTTGGTAAAGAAAAAAAAAGTGAAAAGACAAATAAAAAAGATAAAAATATATTTTAAATATATTTAATAAAAAAGTAAATCGAGATGAAAAAAAAGAAGAAGAAGAAGAAGAAAAAAGGTTACTATTTTTCACATTTATTAACAAAAACAAAGCATTACAAATTGAAAAGAAAATAAAAGAGAAAATGAAAAAGATTTAAGTATTATATATTTATAAAATTATCTATCATATTTAAATTTTTTGTCTTAATTTATAAATTTTATAATAATAAAATCATATAATTTTTTTCATTTTTAATTTTATCATAGAATGAATGAAAAAAAATATATTTTCTTTTAAATTTTACACATTTTCATTTTTTCTATCCATAATACCAAGTAAAACCTTAATTATTTCCCTAAAACTAAGCTACATCAAGTGCCTGTTCAACTCCGGGAAATTCTGACTATTCTTGAACTTATCCATCTTTGGCAACAGCAAAGGTTTTACAAACTGTTGTTCAACATTAATTAATTATCACATAAGTCCAAGTATAATAATTTATTTAATTTTAATTAATAAAGTAACAATCAAGACATAAATGTAGTAACAATCAAGACATAAATGTAGTAACAATCAAGACATAAATGGGTAATGTAGTAACAATAACAATCAAGACATAAATGGGAGGCTGCAATGAACAAGTCATTCTTAAACAAAGTCTTCTCGCAAGCCTACCTTCGAGAAGTACTAGAAATTGCTTCGACTTTTTATTTGTCGCACCATAAATTTCTTTGACTTAAACAAGAGTTTAGGTTTTTAGTGACTCATAAAAATTTATTAATTAGATTATTAAAGATATTTTTTTTATCAAAAATATCTTCAAGAATTCATTTTATATTTTTCTTATGATTTATTAAGAGTATTTTTTTATTGAAAATACCTTTAATATTCCCTCTCAAAAATTTTTAAATCTTTTAGTAAAGATGTTTTTACTCAAAAAATACTTAAAATAATCCATTACAAATAATCCTTTAAAAAACTCAAAAAAGGCTAAAAGGAAGGATCAAATCTATCATCTTATGGTTAACAACTATATGATCATTAAATTTTGATAGAATATTTATTAAAAGTGTTTTTGACCAAATATACTTTCAATAATCTTGTGAAATTTTTTCATGAAATTATTAAAGGCGTTTCTTGCAGAAAATGCCTTCAATAATTGTATACATTTTTTTATGAGGGGATTATTCAAGGTGTTATCTGTCAAAAATGTCTTCAATAATCATTTATTAATAACTGGATTATTTAAGTCATTTTCTGTCAAAAATGTATTTAGTATTCACTCAAATTTTAAGACAAAATTATTTAAGATATTTTAGTTAATAAACGCCGTTAATATCAAGTTTTATGTGATGTTTATGAATAAAAATATCGTTATTTGAATATTTAGTGACGTCTTGATAATAAACACCTTAAGTTTTATAAAAACACGAAACTAACAGCGTTTGTAAGTAAAACGTCGTTACAAAATTGCCACTAATCTTTCATTTTCTTCGTTTGTTTCGTAAAAAATAATTTTTAAAAAATAATTATAATTTTGAAATTGAAAAAGATTTTTTATTGTTTGGATGACTTAATGAAAAGTATTTTTTTTATTTGATTATTTTTTTGAAAAATTTATTTTTTTCAAATAATATTAATATAATTATTAAAATATTAAAAAATATTTATTATTAAAATATATTGAAATTATTTATTATTAAATTATTAATATTAAAAAATAATTATATTTTAATATAATATTTAATATTAAAATATTATGTTAATATAAAAAATACATAAAATAAAACATTTATTATTCTTTATATTATTTATTAATATATTATAATATTACTTATTAATATATTATAATATGATTTATTAATAGTATATTATTTATTAATATATTATATTAATAATATATAATTTATTCATATAATATTACTTATTAATATGTTATAATATAATATTATTTATTTATTAATATAATATTATTTATAAATAAAATTATATTCAAAAGTATTGATAAATAATTTTACTCATAGATATTTTTTTTTTGAAAAATATCTTTTCTTTTCAAATTTGTATGATAATTTTTTTAAAAAATAATCTTATTTTTTAAATTAATTAATTTTTTGTCAAATAAATATCTAAAAATATAAAAATCATTTTTTAAAAATTATTTTTTCACGAAACAAAAGGAGCGTTTGTTTTACTTTCGTATCTTCATTGGAAAAAAAAAAAGAAAAACATGTTTTACAGTTCCAATTTCACCTTCAACAGATAAATTTAACATGCAACAGTAAAACAGAAAAGGAAAGCCTTAAAAGAATATGTTGTAAAATATGTAGTGCTCTTTTCATTATGGTACTTGATTCTTACGTGGTATCTAAGATACTAATTAACTACTCTTCTGCACTCAATTGTGAGAAATTGGAGAGGCAAACGAGGATGAGAAGTCATTTCCTAAAGTTTAGCATCTTTGCTTTGCAGGCACCTCTGATTCATGCACAGGATCAATCAGGTTTAGCAATCTAAATCTCTGGACATAACATATAACAATTCCAATTCTCTTTAACTAACAGAAACAACTAAGGGAAGTTTCTCCCCATGTTCTTTCTGGGGTTCATTAGCTTAGATTGTGGACCGTTATTTTTCCTTGTAATTGATGTTATTAGTTAACGGTGACGAGGGTTTAGATTCCACAAATTCCGTTTGGTTAGAGTTACCACACAACTTTTTATATGACTTAACCATAATTAGACATTGTTAAGACATAATAAATTTTGGCCCCAAAAAACACATAATAAATAAATAAAAATTATTTTAAATAATTTAAATAGGCGAATCTTACTTTTTCTTTATAAAAATTTAACAACTTTAAAATTAATTTCCCAAACGTTTTTTTTTTTCCTTCACTTGTAAATAAACAGGAAAGATAAACTTCAAAATCTATCCTACCATTGATGATTGTAGAAAAGAATCAGCTTTGGTTATCGTTATATTTTACAACCTCTTTTCTTTTGTTTTAGGACTATAATTTTTGTAATCAAATAAAAAAGCTATTCATGATTTTACAATGAAAAAGTATTTTTGGGATAAAAAATCACTATATTATCCTATATTTTTATTATTTTATACATATTTTTTTAACATTTCAATTATTGGCAACACTTTTTAAAATAATATTAAATATTTTAAAATTTTAATCACATTTTTTTATACAATTTTTTCAACTTAAACAATTTTCAATCACAATGTAAAACTAACCTAATATTAACCTTTTTCATCTTAACTATTTTGATTTAAAAGTCAGTAAAACTTACATTGATATAAATATATCCCGTTTCATTTTTTTAATGATTTGTTTCCAAATTTCAATCTAGTCATGTATTATTTATTAAAAAAATTGTATAAAACGGTTAATCACGTTATTGTATAAATATCCTTTCCATTAAAATCATGTTGCATGATCATATTGCATACTTTAATCTCATAGCAGAATATTTTAAAATTTTTTTATGATAGATAAATTGATACTTAAATTTAAACTTATGAGATTTGAATGATATCTTGTAGGTTAAATGTGATTTTTCACAAATGATATCAGAGTAATCATGAGTTAAGAAAATTAAGTGTTATATTGTGATCTGTGAAAGCCACTTTTAAAATCTCATAAGAAGTAAGTATTATACGATGAGAGCTATGTCTAGAACCTTAATGTTTAGTGCGATTCTAATTTTGTGTGTTCTGTGATTTTGTATATTAAGTGTTGGATTTGACAAGAACTTTAAATTTTAATCGGAGAATTTATGATATCCAATCTCATATTGAGATATTTTAAAAATTTGTTATAATATATAAGTTGATATTTAAATTTATACTTGTGAGGATTCTTTTATTGAATAAAATTATTAGACTTTAGAATTAAAATGGATAATATCTCATAAATTGAATAAAATATTTATACATATTATTATTAAAAAAATTAATTATTTATTACATATTAAATAGTGAATATTTATTTTAATAAACTCGGGTATATAATATGTAATGAATGAATTTTTTTTTTTTTGCTCAGCAGTAAATGATTAATTTTTACATTGATAAAATTACATTTAAATGAAAGATATATGACCATTTCTTTATTCATTAATTGACGTTAGACTTGCAGACACTTTTGAACCAACTCTTACGGTAAGTGATACATGCATTCTATCATTGAATTAAATATTCAAATATGACGATGGCAACTCAAGAATTCTATGCATGACTCCGGTAACTAGAGCTAGCACTCTTTTATGTATTTTAATTTTACACCAAAATAGATATATATTAGTGTAATGCTTCACTCGTATCACATTATACTGTCAGAATCTATTAATAAATATAAAGGTTTTTATGAAAAAAAATTGTAAAATTTTTTAATCTATGTGAATACAAATTTTCACAATTATAATGAAATTTTCCTCACTAATTTTGTTTTGATGGTTGAGTGGGACATCAAGAAAAGACCCAATTAAAATGCTCAAACAAAAAAAAACTTACTAACTATTGGAGTTCTTAATTGCATCTGGAAGTAAACATTACCAAGTTTTCCACATTATATAGGATTCTATTATTACACCATAAGTTTATAAATATAAATAAATTATAAGATGAGAATTGCTTCTTTGTGGTACTTGGCTGTGAGGAATTGAGGATTGTAAAGAAGATGTTTAAGCATTTTCTCCTTGTATTGGTTAGCTGCTATGCTGTTGCAATTTTGGTTCATGACCAAGATCAAACAGGTTTATTTATCTAAATTCCTTGAATAACAAATTCAATTCTCTTTCACTAACCAAGGAACTTATTAAGGCCTTCCTTTTGTTTCTCTCAGGTTTCATTAGCTTAGACTGTGGGCTACCAGATAATACAACCTATACTGAATCCACAACAGGCATCGACTATATTTCAGATGCAGCTTATATACAAACAGGAATAGGTAAGAGTATCTTACCTGAATTCCAAAGAGGACTTCAGCGACAGACATGGCATCTTAGAAGCTTTCCTGAGGGGGACCGAAATTGTTACAACCTTAGCCTCAGAAAGGGAGATGAATACTTAATCAGAGCGACTTTCGTTTACGGAAACTATGATGAAATGAACGAACTGCCCAAATTTGATTTGCACCTAGGGCCTAATTTGTGGACTTCTGTAACAATACAAAAGGCATCTGTTGGTATAAGCACGGAAATTATTCATGTCATCCAATCAAATCATTTGTTTGTTTGTCTAGTGAATACTGGAAATGGGATACCATTCATATCAGCATTAGAATTAAGGCTCTTGAATAATGCTACCTACAGAACTCAAATAGGATCCCTGGAACTTTTCGCAAGGTTTGATGTTTGTTCAACAACTGGAGCAACATTCAGGTACATACTAAAAACTTTTTGATGTATAATAAATGAAATTTTAGATATCTTTGCTTAGTTAATGAGCAATTGTACCTCAGGTTCAAAGAAGACATTTATGATCGTTTGTGGTGGCCTTATAATAGAAATGATTGGACACTAGTTACTACCTCTTATACCGTTATAGCAGGTAGTAATTTGTACCAGCCACCATCTCTTGCCATGAGGACTGCTTGCACACCTGTAAATTCCAGTCAGTCCTTGGTTTTCTCCATTGACCCCAGTTCCGTTCCCAATGCGGAGTTTTACTTATACATGCACTTTGCCGAAGTTCAACATCTCCAAGCCAACGAATCCAGGAAGTTCAACATCTTTTATAACGGCCAGTTTTGGTTCGGGCCAATTATTCCTTCTTACTTGGCCTCAACCACCTTTTCCACCCGATCAGCCTTGACTGGTGGAAACTACCAATTTTCAATCTACAGAACTGCAGATTCAACCCTTCCACCCATCCTCAACGCAATTGAGATTTATACCGTAAAATTATTCTTACAATACGAGACATTCGAGAAAGAAAGTATTTTCTTTTAAACTCAAAACATATTGGTTTTCACTAGTTTGCTATTTTAATTAGAAAATCAAATTGCATTGTTTTAACTTCAATTGTTATTTATGTATGACATAATAGTTGATGCAATCTCAAATGTAAAAACAATTTATGGATTGAAAAGAAATTGGCAAGGAGATCCATGTGTTCCTCAAGCATACGCATGGGATGGTCTTAATTGCAGCTACAGCGGTTACAATCCACCTAGAATCATATCCTTGTTAGTTATATATGCCTCTATTTCCTAGTCCGAATATATATATATATATATATATTTATATTATATGTTGATTCAGTCCATATGTTTGATCATAACACTATTTACTCGTGCTGACCATTGCATCAGGAACTTATCCTCAAGCGGCTTGAATGGAGAGATACCGCCTTACATAACCAGTCTCACTCAGTTACAATATCTGTAAGTATATATATCAAGATCAAGATAAACTAGCCAGCAAGTTGTTGATTTATTATAAAGGGAGAAACATAAACTCGATCGATTACTTTTGTGAATATATCAGGGACTTATCAAACAATAGTTTGACTGGACCAGTGCCTGAGTTTTTATCCCAACTGCAAAGCTTGACAGTTCTGTGAGTTACTAGGGATTCAAACTTAAAAATGAAGATTCTTTTATTAAGTTACAGTAAAGGATCATAAATGATATGCCCTCGCAGGAACTTAGATGGAAACATGCTTAATGGTACAGTTCCATCTGCACTTATTGAAAGGTCGAAGAATGGCTTGCAATTAAGGTATGCTTTCTGTTAAACAACGGACTTGATTATTCTTTCCATGATTTTCCATTAAGGTGCTCCAAGCCATTAATCTCATTCTTTTATAGTGAACAACGAAACCAAATAAGAACATGGAGTCATGTTATTAGGATTGACTGAAACTTGATACCATCGGGAGCCATCAATCGTGATTGTATAGTTTGTCTTACTCTCTCTGTTGTGAACTGAATTGATGTAGTATTGAAGGAAATCCCAACCTTTGTGTGTCACTCCCGTGCAAGAAGAATAAGAAGAAAAACGTTGTTGTTCCAATTGCAGCATCAGTTGCTTCATTTTCTGTACTAATAATTGTATTGGCTACCGTATGGAGGCTTCTTAAAAGGAGACAACCACCACTAGGTATGACCACCATTACAAAAATAGATAAGCTCAGAACATTGAACTGAACTATTTAAATGCCTTTTTTTTGAAGCTATTCTCAACAGATTTATGCTTATTGAACCTATTATCAGATGGGAATACGGATGATGAATCCAACACATTATTCCAGTTATTGGAGTTAAAGAATAGGCGGTTCAAGTTCTCTGAGGTACAGACGATGACAAACGACTTTGAGAGACTTCTTGGTACTGGAGGATTTGGAAGTGTCTTTTACGGCCACATAGATGACACTGAAGTAGCCGTAAAGATGCTATCTCTATCATCAAGTCAAGGGTACAAGCAGTTTGAAGCTGAGGTATGAGAGGCTAGCATACATAAAAGTTTTATATATGTCATTTAAACCCATTTATATCTAACTAATTAAAACTTGTCTTTTTTAATATAGGTCAAAACTCTTTTTAGAGTTCATCATGCAAATTTGACAAGCCTTATTGGGTATTGCAATGAAGGTGCCAATCTGGGGCTAATTTACGAGTACATGGCCAAAGGAAATTTAGCAGAGTTTCTATCAGGTATGTTACAAAGTGATTCACCTTCCAACTCCTTCAATTTTTAGTTCTAGCAAGAACGAAAATTCTGCGATCTCTGTTGGACAACTTTCTAGACAAGTTAACACACTTTACATGGAGGAATGCAGATAAAAGTACACGTATCCTGAAATGGGAAGAAAGACTACGAATAGCATTGGAAGCAGCGCAAGGTTAACTGCGTTTGCTTTTTTTAGTTTTCCATTTTATTAATTTGTGACTTCAAGTTAACTAAACACAAAAAACTAAAAAATATTTAATGTAGGACTTGAGTATTTACACGAAGGTTGCAGACCACCAATAATCCACAGAGATGTGAAATCTACAAACATCTTATTAAACGAAGACTTCCAAGCCAAACTAGCTGATTTCGGGTTCTCAAAGACATTTCCAATCGAAGGTGGAAGTCATCTATCAGCATCCATTGTTGGTACTACTGGCTACCTTGATCCCGAGTAAGTACATCCTTTTGCTTTTAAAATTCAACGCTATATAGTCGTAGTGATCTTTTTGGTCCGAACCAAGTTTCATGTTTCTTATGCAGGTATCGCACATCAATCATTTTAACCAAAAAAGGTGATGTTTATAGCTTTGGGGTTGTTCTTTTGGAGATCATAACAGGTAAACCAGCTGTGATTAATGCACAAACCAACAATGTGAGAACTCACATAAGTCAATGGGTTAGCTCCATTCTGTCTAGAGGTGATATCAAAAGTATTGTTGATCCAAGATTAGAAGGAGATTTTGATGTTAATTCTGCGTGGAAAGCCGTAGAAGTAGCAGTGCTTTGTGTGTCTCACAATTCAACAAGAAGGCCAACCATGAACGAGGTGGTGCTGGAACTAAGCCAATGTTTGTCTGCGGAAAGAGCCAGGATAACGGGAGAGCATGGAAATAAATCAAAAAACCCAGCTGACATGATGACCATGAGTTTTAGCACTGAAATTGGCCCTGTACACGAAATTGGTCCTGTACCGAGGTGATCATTCAAAGCCATGAGTATAGGCGTAATGATCATGAATCTAGATTCTTGACTAGAATCGATTAATTCCTAGTAAGGTAGCATAAATTTTATCAGTCAGAGTCGACTGTGAGTATTATTATGCAAGAAAAGATATTGTATAAAATTCCATATATACTTTGTGTATGATTTTAAAGACTTATGTTCTGGATAACAATTGCAATTCTCTTTTCATTTATGATCAAAGGATTCAGGCGTATTAATGTTGGGATTCAAGGTGGAGTGCTGTATGTGACATTTTAAGCTTATTTTTGTGATACCACAAACAAATGGCAGATTAAAGCTGTTTAGCTTCCTTTTGGACAGCCTTCTATGGGTTGCTTTTCTCTTTCGATTCTGGGCATACTTTTCTGGGGAATTGGCGTCCATATCATTCTTTCCTTATCTTTTCAACAAGCCATCTTTCCCAATTCCTATTTGGATTAAGGGGATACCTTCCCGCTTCTTGCTTATTAGTTATTTGAATTTTGTTTGTAGCTGGTTAAATTTGATGGTTTATCTGAAAATTTTGTTTGAGGGTGTAAAATGCAAATCGTGTGATAGAATGCCAGAGGCATCTGTAGTAGTATGAAAGTTCAATTTGTGAGGTGGCTTGTGATTACAAAGCTGTGGTGCTTGGTAAATAGAACCATCTAATATATAATACGCCAGCATCGACGTGACTTTATCTGGACTATCCCTCTTTTGCTTACGGATAACAAAGAGGTCTGGCTCCATAACTTCACCAAGCATGTACTCTATTCCAGTCATTTTCCTATACGAAAGGGAAAAAAAAAAGAAGAGCTGATTTCTGATCTTATGAGTACCTATTTTTTAAACTAGGACTGTACACCATGATTGATGATAATGTCAGCAAGTTTTTTAAACTAGGACTCTACACCATGATTGATAATAATGTCAGCAAGTTTTTCCAATCAAATGAAATAGTTTTTTTGGGTAAACTGCAAAAACAAGTTACTTATTTGGTGGCTACCAGCACATTTTTCAAGTAGATAAAATGCCAATCACAAATAAATAGCTATGCGTTCGTGTTCCTCTAGCAGAATTGCATGGTAAATGCCTCATCTTCGCATGGTATGAAAAACGAAATAATAATAATTTAAAACTTTGACATACCCAAATGAATATTTCTTTCATACTCCAACTGGGTTTCAAAAACTTGACATTTTTCAATTAAAAAAAAAAAGAAAAAAACGACAATCAAACCTTGCAACATTCCAAGAGAGTTCATTAAAGGGAAAAAAAAAAAACCCAAACTTTAATTTTCTTCCGAGAGTTGAGAGATGTCGAGAGGGTGAACGAAGCGCTTCCTTAGCTGCTCATTGTTGCCGGTTCAATCATAGAACAGAGATAGAGCAAAGTAATCGAAGATCAAGTTTCGATCAAGAGGGTACGTATTTAGCCACAATCGGTCTCTGAAACATATACCTGTCATGTCCATTCAGGAGGCTGCATCGCCGGTGGTGGTGGTACTTCAAAGTTCCCCCTGCCGCCGTATGCGGTGGCGTCACCGCTGGCGTCGCCATTTTGGGGTTATGCTTTTCGGGGTGATTCTACTTGTGGGCTTTAGTCAGAAAGGAGTCAACAATCATTATGCGCTTTAATAACATAAAATGGCTCCCAAACGGCGCCGTTGAGAAAACTGACAACGTAATCTACAGCAAGGTTTTTTATTATCAGGGACGGATCTAAGATATATATTCATTTAGGGTAAAAATATATATAATATTGAATATATATAAGTTAATTAAGATGCATAAAAAAATTATTTTAATATATATAAAAATAATATATTATAATTATTTTTTACGACTTTTTATATTTTGAAAGCATTATAAAATTTTTTCATTATTAATATTACAAAAAATATTTTTTTTATATATGTAATCAAATAATCATTCATTTAAAAATCTCTCATTCGGTTGCACAAATAATTCTTCACAATCTTCATAGCAGAAAAAATTCTTTCAACTGATGTAATAAAATTGGTAATATCAAAGTTAACTCTACATGTACGTATATCAATGGATACACAAAATATTTTTTTGTCTTAACAAGTTTCATGAAAAGCTCATTAATACTTTTCAAACTTGTAAACTCATCATGAGATTTTAAATCAACAATGTAAGTTTCAAGTTGATCGTCAACAGGGATGGCATTGGGTCGGGTTCGGGGCGGGTTTTGCTCGTCCCGAACCCGACCCGATTTTATAATTCATTAAACCCGAATCTGACCCTATCCGATTTTTTACCGATACTACATAAACAGTATCCGACTTGACCCGACCCGAAATTAATAAAATATTATTTTTTAAAATATAAAATATTTATTTTTTAAATATAAATAATTAAAAATATAATTATATAAATATATATATAATTAAATAATTAATTAAAAAATAATTTTTTATATAATGTTGGGTGGGGTCGGGCTTTAGGCATACCCGAACCCGACCCAACCCTACTGTTTCCTAACTATACCCGACCCGATCGACCCTAAACTCGAAATTAAAAAAAAAAATCCGACCCCATAGGATCGGGTCGGGTCAGAACCCGTCGGGGACGGGTTTGATTACCGTCCCTAATTGTCAAGAATCAGTAACTCAACATTAGAAAATTTAGTAAGGTAAATATGAGCAAGACGAATCAACTTTCCCTTATCAAAAGCTGTAAAAGAATCACAAGGATTTTAAAAAGCCACACAAAGAAATAACTCTATATTCACCTCATTAAAAAGATTGTTGAGCTCTTGAAGTTGCATATCAATTATTATATAAAATAACTCAATTCGATAATAACATAAATTTGTCATTGTTAGAGTATTGTGTTGAGGTCTTCCACGAGTTACAAACATATCATTCATATTTTTGGTGCCAATATTGTTTTTCTCACAAATTTTTTATAAAGAAACCTCTTTATGCAAAGATTCACATCCATCATCTCTTATTATTTGTAGTCGTTGCTTCATTACTTTTACTAATGCCATCGCATTCATAATATCTTGATCTCGCCTTTGTAATGCTAAGGACAATTCATTTGTAATCCTCAATATATTTTTCATCAAATGCAAGTTCAAAGCAAAGTTAAAAGATTGAGTCGAATCTAATAAGGTAAAAGCTTCACTTCTTTGCTCCGAGCTATTCCTATCCTCCACAATAATTTCAAGCACATCAATGATGGAACTAAACATAAGGATCAAATTTATCAAAGTCTTATAATGTGATCCCAATCGTATATCCCCATCTCGTTGAAGACTTATTTCTTCGTTTAAACTCCTTATTGTAGAAAGTTCACTTACTCATAATGCCTCAACAACTTTATTAAGTTATTTTTTTCAAAGAATATCTCTTCATTTAAATGAAGCCTGACAATATTCGTTACATTTGTCACAATATTGAAAAGTAATACAATTTGAACATGATTCTTTGCCACAGCTACAAGTGTCAATTGAAGTTGATAAGCAAAACAATGAACATAATAAGCAGATGCATTATCTTTCATGATCAAAGTTTTCAATCCATTGAATTCATCTTGCATGTTGCTTGTTCCATCATAACCTTGCCCACGAACCCTTGACATACTCAAATTATGCTTAGAGAATAATGCTTTAATAGCTGTTTTAAGTGATAAAACAGTTGTATCACTAATATGTATTATCTCAGAAAAACATTCAATAATATGCCCTTTAGAATTCACATAATGCAAAGCAATATTAACTTTTTTTTTTATTGAAACATCTCAAGATTCATCAAGTAAAATGAAAAATAATATATCTCCAAGATCTTCCATGATAGCATTAGTAGTCTCAATTGCTGCAGTACGAACAAGATCTTTTTGAATATCATGTGCTATTATTTTTGAATTTCTCAGTGCATTCTCCAAGACAATACTATTGATGGTTTCATTATGATTGACAAGAAATCTAATAAACTCAAGAAAATTTCTTTGAATATGAGAATTCTCAGTTTCATCTATACCACGAAATGCCAAATCTTGACATAAAAAAAAGCGAAACAATCAAGTGTTGTAGTTAAGCGAACTTGATAATCTTTTCGTGCTTGATCAGATTGTTTTGCAAAAGCAAATTGAATATATTGCTTTTGATTTAGCAAATCTTGACAACACTTCCAAGCTTTGTTATGAGCACTATTAGGATCTCCAACATGGATATCAAATCTTTTTTTCTTTTTCCAATTTGTGAATCCATTTGAAATAAAATAATCACCACCTACTTGCTCTTCAATATCTATTCTATAAAGATAACAATACAAATAAAAAGCGACATCCTTCTCTGTACTGTATTTCAACCAATTAGCATAATCTTTGAACCACGTAGGAATAAAAAGACGTAATGCCTTTCTAATTTTTCTTTAAGGGAAATTATGTTCATGAGGTTGACATGGACCTTTTGCAAATAAGCTCTTTGAACCTTGTCCCTATTATTAGCATTATAGTCCAAAATTTTTTTTGTAACCCAGGATTCAAATGTCTAAATTTAATTCAACATGAACTTACTTTGTACAATGTTGTATGCCACTAGTATTGATTTCAAATGATTCTTTAAGAATTGACTTCCTCTTAATAAGATCATAACTAATTAAATTAAATAGTTTAGTTTATGTAATTTATAAAACATAAGAACACATATTCAAACTACAATTATGCATGTTAATGAAGCTCAACTAACCTTATATTTGAAATATATGAACTGAAATGCAATTCACATACTGTAATCATACTGCTATGTAAGAAATTAGATAGAACTTTTAACTAATTTTATAATTTCCATATAAAAATTAAATTTTACCAAACTTAAAGTTATTAACTGAATGAGTAATAACTAAAAAATAAAGAAAAATATAAAACATAAAAAATTCAAACATGATAAAAAAATATAAATGCTATCAATAGCATGAATACATGATCAAATTATTTCATCAATATAACAAATTTCAAATAATAAATAAACACTAT